GAAAGCCATCAATAGTGTCGATAGCCAGCGCGGGTGGGATGGAGGTGAATAATGAGATCACGTCAAATGACACCATCACCTCATCTGCCTCCACTTCGAGATGTTTGATGCGCGTCAAGAACTCCTCAGCCGACTTCACTGTCCACTCCGAATCCTTGGTAAGGAAACAAAGTCGTTGGTACAGCCACCTTGACAGCCCAAAGGTTGGAGTACCACGTAAGGAGACGATGGGGCGTAGCGGTACCCCCTGTTTGTGAACCTTGGGTAGGCCGTAGAAGCGCGCCATCGCGGTATCACTGGCTTTTGCGGCCAACGCTTCCCTTCTCGTAAGAGCTCCCGCCTTCCTCAACTTGCCGATCGTATTGTTTATGCTGTTTACGAGCTTTTTAAACTCGCTGACGGTCGATGACACATAAGCTTCCTTGTCCATCAAGAGGTTGCCTAGTTTTGTGCAGTACTCAGCCTTATCCATGACGACAGTCGAGCGCCCCTTGTCGGCGGGCAGGGTGACGATATCCTTCCCTTTTCGTATCTTCAGAAGTTCTCGATCTTCTGCTTTAGAAATCGTCATCTGGCGTTTGTGTTGGAGGAGTAAGGTCGACACTTGTTGTCGCATGGCGTTTTTGCACTCCTCACCTGCCTCACACTTCTGGAGCGCCGATTCAAAGGATGCAATAAAGTCTTCTGGTCGAGCATCTCTTGTGTTGAACTTCGCGTCATAGGATAGAACCGCTAGTTGTTGCTGAGTGAAACGATGAGAGGACAAGTTGTGAACCAAGGCACCGTCAGTAGAGGGCTGCTTTGGCGGACTTATTTTCTCAAATTTTCCAGACAACTGGTCATCACGCAACTTGCGGTGACGCCGTGCGCTGTCGAGAATTGCCGTTTTGAGGACCTCTAGCTCGTGTGCCGTAAAGATCGACTGGCAAGTTGACGAATGATGTTCAATCATCTGGCGGTACTTGTGGATGCGGGCGTGGCAGTCTCGTATCAGTACCCTGATCATTTTCTTCTTGAAGTCTGCCATCGTCCGTCGGCAAAGGTCAGTGTTCACAGGCGGTCTATATTTGAGGCATTTCGGTAAGACGTCCTCATCAAGGCACCTGTGCAGGAATTTCAGCTGAGCGTAGGTGGAGGACTCCCGCTTCGCGAAGGTCTCCCATCTGCGTGCTGAGCGGAGGGCTGTGCGCCCATAGCATACATCGATATGCGTAAAGATTCGAGGTCCAGACATTGTATCGCGTTCATCATCTCCCGAAGAAGACGAAGAAGTAGAGAGGGCGAATTCATGGACCATATTGTATTCGAACTGACGTTTCGGAAACTTCCTCGTTTCCATCATCAGAGTAGCGTAAATGTTGCCCTTGCCGGTCTTGAGTTGTTCAGTCTTGCCGCTTGCCTCGTATTATAGCCGTGCTGGACGCACGAACTTTGACCTGCCTGTTTGCCGCTGACTGGCTTAGACCTCCCAGGGGCTGACCGCTGACAGGCCTGCGTGACCTTTGGGGTCGGCGTAATTGTGGTCAAATCAACGTGCCGCTTAGCCTCTCCCACGTCAGCCGGTGGACTGATCGGTCGTTGCTGTTCAGGTGAGCAGCATTCAGCTTCGCGGGCGCATCGGTGAGACAGTGTTCGGCTTTGGTCACATGACCTCTGGCCCCCAATTCTGCTCTTTTCCGTGAGCGTTGACTCTCGGTCCCGCGTGCTCGCTTGCCTTACTGGTCTTGTCCGGACTAATCCGAGCCTTGTACGAAGCGCCTAGTAGGCGGGATGTAGATCTATAGCTCGGTTGAGTGTACCAGTCGAGGACCAACTTTCGAGCACCAGTCTGGCCATCTTCTCATTGGCTCGACCAATTACCCTCGCTTTCTCAAAGGCAAAATCGTGGTTCAGATCTCTTATGTGGCCATAGACCAAAGACAGCTTGTCCTTGCGATTGATTGCAAGTTGGTGTTCGTGCAATCTTGTACCGAGGCGTTTGCCCGTTTCACCAACATACCTTGCATTGCAATTTAGGCATGGTATGCTGTAGACCACCGCCGACTGTTCTGTTGTTGGTAGCGGGTCTTTGGGCTTCATGATTTGCTGTCTGATGGTGCATTCTGGTTTATGAGCCACGCCAATCCCAAAAGGTTTCAGGATTCTTGCCGTTGCCTCTGATACGTTCTTCACATAAGGTATTGAGAGCCAGAACTTGGGCTTTTCTCCACTCGACCGCTCAAAATGAGGCTTTTTGAGGCAATTGCGTATGAAGGACTTCGGGTAGCCGTTGGCTTTGAAAAGGGCGTGTAAGTGATTCATCTCCTCCTTCCTCCCACTGTCGTCGCTACAGTGTGTTTGAACACGTTGAAAGAGAGTTCTGACACAACTGCGTTTATGACCAACAGGGTGGTTGCTTCGGAAGTGGAGGATGCGCCTGGTATTTGTTGCCTTACGGTAAACCGTTGTCCTTATCTTCCCGTCTGTCAATCTCGTAACTTGTACGTCCAGGAAGGGCAACTGATTGTTGACTTCCTCTTCCATAGTAAACTGAATATCGGGAAAGATGGAGTTCAACAATGCCTTGAAAGCCTTCACCTCGCTCCTCTTGATTACAACGAACGTGTCGTCGACGTATCTGGCCCAGAACTTCGGGGGGTACGAGCTGAAGACCTGCTGCTCGAGTCTCTGCAAAACTGCTTCGGCAATTAGTCCAGACAGAGGCGAGCCCATCGGTGTCCCCTTCTTTTGCTCGTAGACTTGGCCGTTGAATGTAAAGAAGGTCTTAAGACACAGTTCTAGGAGCTCGATGATGTGTGCTCGTTTGAGCTGTTGGTCGGTTTCATCATACTTTTCCCGGAGAAAGCCATCAATAGTGTCAATAGCCAGCGCGGGTGGGATGGAGGTGAATAATGAGATCACGTCAAATGACACCATCACCTCATCTGCCTCCACTTCGAGATGTTTGATGCGCGTCAAGAACTCTTCAGCTGACTTCACTGTCCACTGCGAATCCTTGGTAAGGAAATAAAGTCGCCGGTACAGCCACTTTGACAGCCCAAAGGTTGGAGTACCACGTAAGGAGACGATGGGGCGTAGCGGTACCCCCTGCTTGTGGACCTTTGGTAGGCCGTAGAAGCGCGCCATCGCGGTATCACTGGCTTTTGCGGCCAACGCTTCCCTTCTCGTAAGAGCTCCCGCCTTCCTCAGCTTGCCCATCGTATTGTTTATGCTGTTTACGAGCTTTTTAAACTCGCTGACGGTCGATGACACATAAGCTTCCTTGTCCATCAAGAGGTTGCCTAGTTTTGTGCAGTACTCAGCCTTATCCATGACGACAGTCGAGCGCCCCTCGCTGCCCCGTTCACACCTGTCCGTAACTGTGTTGATGGTGGTTGTCATGCCGGTGTTGTCGTCGGGCTGGCGGGTCCTGTCACTGTCTGGCTCTCTCTCCAGGGGCTGGCGTCTGTCTGTGTTCGGACCCAGAAGGCGGTCTCTTAGGTTTGTGTTCGTCGACGGTTGTCCCTTGGTTTCGTCGGTTCCCGATTCCTGTCTATGCACGTCTGTGTTCCCGCTGGGTTTGGGTTCGACTGCTGCCGTCTCTGGCCTGACGCCTCGTCGGTAGCCCTGCTTATTGAATTTCGCCCTTAGGGCTTGGTAGGCGGCCGGCAAAGTTACGCAGCGGTTGATCGAGGTAGTTGTGGTGTGCCAGGCTTCGAGCGTCAGCGACCTCCTCGACGGCCAATACACGGAGGCAAACAATACCCCGAAGCGGGGACACCTTGTTTAACTGCTCAAATACTGCCTCCAAACATTCTTCACATTTGAAGGGACGGTATACGAGCAAATCAAAGGTACGCCGATGGGCTCACCACTATCCGGTTTTATCGCCGAAGCTGCTCTTCAAAGGTTAGAGACGTCGGTGTTCGCAACATATAAACCAAAATTTTGGGCGCGGTATGTGGACGACACTTTTGTCGTTCTCAAACGGGAAATGGTACTGAATTTTCACGCGCTACTGAATTCTGTTCTTCCCGATATTCAATTCACCATGGAGACAGAGAACAACAATCAGATCGCCTGTCTAGACGTTCTGGTCCATCGCAAGGTCAACGGGTGCCTGAAAACGACGGTCTACAGAAAGGCCACTAACACGCGCCAGGTCCTGTCCTACCACAGCAATCATCCGTTGTGTCACAAACGAAGCTGTGTTCGATCTCTCTACAAGAGAGTTGACACTCACTGCAGCGAACCGACCGACAAGATAGCCGAATTCCCCTATCTACGGCGGATGTTCAACTCTAACGGTTACCCCCGCAGCTTTATTGAACGCAGCAGACTGTCCAGAACAACCATGAAGTCAACGGCAAATCAGCCGAAAGTCTGGCGAGCGCTGCCATACATTGCGAATGTTTCCGATGCAGTTGCTTGTATTTTGCAACCATTGGGTATCGGCATCGCCCACAAACCCGAAGCGACAATTAGACGTCTGGTCATGAGACCAAAAACGCCCCTGCCACGAGGCGAGACCGCCAATGTTGTCAATCGGATCCCGTGTAGTTCCTGCGAAGCCAACTACGTTGGGGAAACTGGGAAGAGATTGCAGACCCGCATGGACGAGCATGCAAGAGCGGTGAGAAGAATGGATCAGCTCTCGCTGGTGGCGGAACATTGCGCAGCTTTTGACCACGCCTTCGCCTTCCAAGACGCCGAAATCTTGGGCCAAGGGAGCGATCAATCGGTCAGGGAGACGCTCGAAGCCTGGCACAACACAACTACCTCGATCAACCGCTGCGTAACTTTGCCGGCCGCCTACCAAGCCCTAAGGGCGAAATTCAATAAGCAGGGCTACCGACGAGGCGTCAGGCCAGAGACGGCAGCAGTCGAACCCAAACCCAGCGGGAAAACAGACGTGCATAGACAGGAATCGGGAACCGACGAAACCAAGGGACAACCGTCGACGAACACAAACCTAAGAGACCGCCTTCTGGGTCCGAACACAGACAGACGCCAGCCCCTGGGGAGAGCACCAGACAGTGACAGGACCCGCCAGCCCGACGTCAACACCGGCATGACAACCACCATCAACACAGTTACGGACAGGTGTGAACGGGGCAGCGATGCGGGAACCCACGACAGTGACAGGAACCTCCAGCCCGACGTCAACACTAGCAATGGTAACCACCGTCCACACGGGTACGGGCGTGTGCGAACAGGGCAGGAAGGCGAGATGCGCGGAGTGCAGACAACGGACAATGCAAACAAGAGCAATGGCCGCGGTCGCCCTGATGCCGCTCCCCTTCTCACACCCGACAAAGAATGAGGAGGAACCGTTGCCGCCATGACAACAAATCGCCAAGCCTTGAGATGCAGCGCGCTGGCAGTCAGTGACACGCCAGCACGAAGAACAAAATCCCATAAATACCGTGACGTGCAGTACGCAAACCACCTCCGATGATGGAAGCTTGTTTGCTTTCGAAACGTCAGGCAAATATACCTATGGTTCCTGCGATCGCCTTATCTTCTCAGTTATATTCGGGAACGCGCATTTTTGCTTCAAACACCAATATATATATATATATATATATATATATATCAGCGAGGAGGGACGACAGAGAATGCGGGTAGATTGATACAGCACTGTTTCGGGCTTATTCTGCCTTCATTCAGCCAATCATAACCCTGACCACCAGCAGCTGAGACCAGAA